AACAGCAACAGCAACAGCAGCAGCAGCAGCAACCGCAGCAGCAGCAGCAGCAGCAGCAGCAGCAGCAGCAGCAGCAGCAGCAGCTACCCTAGGCACGTCTTCGTTCTCTTGCCATACGCCACTCTCTTCCTCGCTGCTGCTGCTGTCGCTGTCGCTGTCGCTGCTGTCGCTGCTTTCGCTGCTGCTGCTGCTACTGCGTTCGGCAGCAGCAGCAGCAGGAGCAGCAGCAGCAGCTGCTGCTGCAGCAGATGCAGCATCTTCATTTGCTGGGGCATAAAGCTGCAGCAATTCTTCCTTGGCAACGCGAGCAGCAAGTCTCTCTTGCGGTGTCTTTGCTTCTTTAGATCGATGCTTCACGCCTTCTCCCTTCTGCTTCTTCTTATTCTTCTTGCTGCTGCTGCTGCTGCTGCTGCTGCTGCTGCTGCTGCTGCTGCTGGTTCTACCATATTTGTCTACAGAACCGCTGAGGCCTCTGCCTACTAAGAAAGAAGGATCAGTGAAGATGCGAGAAAAGCGAGGATCGCTGTACACTGCAGCAGCTGCATCCGCTTCTGCTGCTGCTGCTGCTGCTGTTCCTGTGGCACTCGCAGCAGATGCTGCTGCTGCTGCTGCTGCTGCTCGCTCTTCTGCATCCCTTGCTGCCTCTAGCTTCGCCTCACGCTTCGAACGAGACTCACCGGAAGCGCTAGAGGTGGAGGAACCACTCTGCTGCTGCTGCTGCTGCTTTCGCTGCTGCAGCAGCTGCTTCTGCTGCTGCTGCTGCTGCCTTGCTGTGGTGTTGATGCTGAAGCGAGGGTCGCCAGCAGCAAGGAAACGCTTATCTAGACGCTTGCTAGGCTTTGTTGTTGCTGCTGCTGCTTCTGTACTTGCTGTTGCTGCTGGTGTTGTTGTTCGTGCTGCTGCTGAGGAGCCTGCTGCAGCAGCAGCAGCAGCAGCAGCAGCAGCAGCAGCCTTCTTCGCGCTCTTCTTCGGTTTTTGTTTGGCCGTCATTTTGCAAATACAATTAAAAAGTGCAGAACCTAACGAAACCCCAACCCTTAAACCCTTAAACCCTAAACCCTAAACCCTAAACCCTAAACCCTAGCAAAGCGTGGCAACCCTAGAGAACGGTCTTCAACTTCCACCTATAAAAACTTTTAATTAATTAATAAAACAAATTAATATTCATCTCTTTCAAACCCTAGGGGCCCCCTAATCCTTCTATGGGGGCCCTGTGGGGCCCTGTGGGGCCCCCAGCCTATCGGGGGCCCCCATCTGTGGGGCCCCCAGGGGGGCCCCCGGGGGCCCCAGGGGGTACCCTAGGGGGGCCCCCAGGGGCCCCCTAGGGGGGCCCTTAAGGGGCCCCTGAGGAGGTATTGGTTTTGATGAAGGAAGAATAGCGAAGAATTATATATATTAAAGGGTAATTGAGTGTTTTTGATGTTTGTTTGTTCTTAGAGGTGTGCAGCAGCAGCAGCAGCAACAACAGCAGCAGCAGAAGCAGCAGAAGCAGCAGGTGAGGAGTTCAGGTGAAATATGTAAGGGGACAAGTGGGAATGACCTTCTACTGCTAGATTTGCTGTATTCTTGCTAACGAAAGCTGCAGCAGCGGCAACAACAGCAGCAACAGCAGCGAGGGCAGCAGCAGCAACAGTGAGAGCAGCAGCAGCAACAGCAGCAAGAAAGACAGCAGCTGCAGCAACAACAGCTACATCAGATGCTTTGGGGGAGCTTGCGCCCCCTGCAGCCCAGATGGTTGGTTCCTGCAGCAGCACGCGTTGCTGCTGCTGCTTCTCCAGCAGCAGCAACACCAACAGCAGCAGCAGCAGCAGCAGCAGCAGGGGCAGGCCTTCCCTGCTGCAGATCCAGTAGGCAGCAGCTAACTGTGGGACGAGTTGGACGATTAGCGGCAAAAGACGGCAAAGTGAGCAGCAGCAGCAGCAGCAGCAGCAGCAACAGCAACAGCAGCAGCAGCAGCAACAGTAGCAGCAGCAGCCGCAGCGGGCCTCTGCGGCTTCATACAGCCCAGACGCCTCGCGCCGCCGCTATCCGCAGCGGCGTGCATACACCTGAGCACGTTCAAGCAGCAGCAGCAGCAGCGGGAAGCAAACCACCAGCAGCAGCAGCACCAGGAGGAGGAGCAGCAGCAGCGACAACGACATCAGCAGCAGCAGCAGCAATTCCTATTTCAGAATATGAGGGCTCTTGGCTGCTGCAGGGGCCCCACAGACGCTGCAAGGGAGCAGCAACAGGCGAAGGCCTGCTGCTGCTTTGTCAACAGCTGGTGCAGCAGATGGAGCAGCTCGCTGCTGCTGCTGCTGCTGTTCCTGCTGCTGCTGCTGCTGCTGCTGCTGCTGGTGCTGCTGCTTCATCCCCAACTGATATCAGTAGCAAGCCTCCTCGCCTCTCAGGCGCAGAGGTAAGCCCTTAAAAATAGAGACAGTATGCAGCTAAATAAGGGTTTAGGGTTTAGGGTTTAGGGTTTAGGGTTTGTTGCGTATGTCTGCAGCTGAAGCAGCAGCTGCGTCTTGTTGCTGCAGCATTACCTTGGGTCTGTTCTTCATTTATTTCAGGTGTATATACACCTGAAAACCCTCAAAAAGATTTGAAGCAAGCGCTGCAAACTCTCGCGCAAATGGAGTGCCCAGTGGTTATCCTCACAAAAAAGATGTAAACCCTTTTCGAGGGTTTAGGGTTTAGGGTTTAGGGTTTAGGGTTTGGATATTAGGGTTTTGGGGTGCGGGCTTAGGGTTGTGTAGATTGTGTATAGAGTTTAGGGTTTAGGGTTTAGTAGTTGGTGATTCTCAGGGCGAAGGCGAAGGATCCTCCAAGAGTTTAGGGTTTAGGGTTTAGGGTTTAGGGTTTAGGGTTTAGGGT